CGTCCTCACACTTCATTTGGTTTGCTTGCTAGACTGATGTTCTACCCTTGAGCCACACCTCCAGCCTTGCTTTTTGATGGTTATTTTTTGTTTGTTTTTTTTGGTCGGTCATGGGGCTTGAACTCTGAGCCTGGGCACTGTCCCTGAGCTCTTCAGCTCAAGGCAAGCACTCTACCACTTGAACCACAGCAGGACTTCTGGTTTTCTGGTGGTTCATTGGAGATGAGTTTCATGGACTTTCCTGCCCAGGCTAGCTTTGAAAGGTGATCCTCAGATCTCAGCCTCCTCAGTAGCTAGGATTACAGGCGTGAGCCACCAAGTGCCCAGCTTTGCTGGTTATTTTTGAGATGGAAGTTTTGTGGACTTTTCTGTCTTGTTTGGCCTTAAACATCAATCCTCCAGGTCTTAGCTTCCTGAGGGACTAGGATTACAGGTGTGTGCTACCAAGGTCTGGCTTCATCCTAATACTATTTCTAAAAATGGCTGTGTGTGTGTGTTAAAATCCTGCACTCTAACACTTGAGATATGTCTCCAGAAATCTCGTGAGAGAGGCGGGAGGGTCATGAGTTTGAGAGGCCTTTCTAGACTACCAAGTGAGATTGCCTCAAAACCCCAAACAACAACAACAACCAAGACAACAAACGTTGCTTGAGTGAAGCATCTGGCATATAACTCTCCTTATACATATTTGTACCCTGTCTTTATCACCTTCCAGAAGCTTCTGATATTGTGATTTCTGTTTTCCAGGTTTTTTTTTTTTTCTTTCACCAATTCTGGGGCTTGAACTCAGGGCCTGGGCACTGTCCCTCAGCTCTTCAGCTCAAGGCTAGCGCTCTACCACTTGAGCTACAGTGCCACTTCCGGTTTTCTGGTGGTTTATTGGAGATAAGAGTTTACAGACTTTCCTGCCTGGGCTGGCTTTGAACCGCGATCCTCTGATCTCAGCCTCCTAAGTAGCTAGGATCACAGGCGTGAGCTACCGGTGCCTGGCTACTTCTGGCTTTTTCTGTGTATGTGGTACTGAGGAATTGAACCCAGGGCTTCATGCATGCTAGGCAAGCACTCTACCACTGAACCACCTTCCCAGCCTCCCTGTATTTCTCAAGTGCTGTGGATGCAGCATGTGCTGAGCAAGTGCTGTCATTGAACCACATTCTTCCTGAGTACTGAGTTCATCTGTCTTTTTGATGGCTTCCTATCCCACTCTGAGAAAATGCCAAATACCTTCCAATAGCCCCCGATCACCCTGTGACCTGACTTAGCCGTCCTACCTGCTGATTTCTTTGGATCCTACTTGCAGCTGGGAACCTTTGTAACTCTCCTTCCTTTCTGTAATGTTTGTGACCCAGTGAGCATGGCTCACTCCCTCACTTTGGGTCTATTTATCACTATCGTATCAGAAAGGCCTTCATTCATCCACCCTATCTTACATTACAACCCTCCCAAAGTTCCTGTCTTCTTCCTGCTTTGAAATACTGCTGTTAAAATAATATACTTTGCTTGTTGGAACCATTTAAGTTTATAGAAAAATTCTTGTCTGTTTTGTTCATTCCAATGTCTGAAATAGTGCTTAACTATTGTTAAATATTGGTAGCATTGAAGTATTTTCTTTTCTTTTTTCTTTCGTTCTTTTTTTTTTTTTTTTTTGGCCAGTTGTGGGGCCTGAACTCTGAGCTGAGCCTGGGCCTGTCCCTCAGCTCTTCAGCTCAAGGCTAGCATTCTACCACTTGAGCCACAGTGCCACTTCCAGCTTTTTCTGCTTATGTGGTTCTGAGGAATCAAACCTAGGGCTTCATGCATGCAAGACAAGGACTCTACCACTGCGCCACCTTCCCAACCCCTTTCTTTCTTTTCTTTTCTTCTTTCTTTTCTTTTTTTTGGTCATGGGGCTTGAACTCTGGGCTTGGGCGCTGTCCCTCAGCTCTTCAGCTCAAGGCTAGCACTCTACCACTTGGGCTACAGCGCCACTTCTGGTTTTCTGGTGGTTTATTGGAGATAAGAGTTTCACAGACTTTCTTCCCCCGGCTGGCTTTGAACCTTGATGCTCAGATCTCAGTCTCCTGAGTAGCTAGGATTACAGGCGTGAGCCACCAGGGCCCGGCTCCCTTTCTTTCTTTTTTTTTGGGTCCGGTTATGGGGCCTGAACTCTGGGCTTGGGCACTGTCCCTCAGCTCTTCAGCTCAAGGCTAGCGCTCTACCACTTGAGCCACAGCGCCACTTCCTGCTTTTTTCTTATGTGGTGCTGAGGAATTGAACCCAGGGCCTCATGCATGTAAGGCAAGCACTCTACTACTGAGCTACCTTCCCAGCCCCCTCTTTCTTTTCTTTCTTTCTTTTTTGTCGGCCATGGGACTTGAATTCAGGGCTTGGGTGCTGTCCCTGAGCTATTTATTTATTTACTTATTTATTTTTGCCAGTCCTGGAGCTTATACTCAGGGCCTGGGCACTGTCCCTGAGCTTTTTTTTTTTTTTGCTCAAGGCTAGCACTCTACCTCTTGAGCCACAGTGCTAGTTCTGGCTTTTTCTGTGTATGTGGTACTGAGTAATTGAACCCAGGACTTTATGCATGCTAGGCAAGCATTCTACCACTAAGCCACATTCCCAGCCCCAGTCCCTAAACTCTTTTGCTTAAGGCTAGCACTCTACCACTTGGAGCCATGGCTATTTGAGCCATTTCCAGTTTTCTGGTGGTTAACTGGAGATAAGAATCTCATGGACTTTCCTACCTGGGCTGGTTTGAATCCCAATCCTCAGATCTCAGCTTCCTGAGTAGCTAGGATTACAGGCATGAACCACCAGTGCCCAGCTTAAAATATTTATTAAATGAATGAATAATGTATTTAATTAAAGATCAAACTTCTGTCTAAAACCCTCTTAGCAAGGGACCCTTAAAAAATTTAGTGTTTGGGGCTGGGAACGTAGCTTAGTGGTAGAGTGTTTGCCTAGCATGCATGAAACCCTGGGTTCAATTCCTCAGTACCACATAAATGGAAAAGGCTAGAAGTGGTGCTGTAGCTCAAGTGGTAGAGTGCTAGCCTTGAGCAAAAGCTCAGGGACAGTGTCCAGGCCCTGAATTCAAGTCCCAGGACTGGAAAAAAAAAATTGTGTTTACCTTACTTTACTGCCTTTAACTAGGCCTAACCTTGCCTGCCTGTGCCTCTGTCTCCTTCTCAGTAAGATGGATATACTAACAATGCCTCTGTAGGGGTTGTGGTAAGAATTAAATGGATTAATATATACAATGTTCTAATCATAGGTCCTTGCATATAGCACAGTGCTATATGGTAGAGTTCATATAGTAGAGTGCTAGCCTTGAGCTGAAGAGCTGAGGGACAGCGCCCAGGCCCAGAGTTCAGGCCCCACGACCGACAAAAAAAAAAAATCTCACCAGGTGGATATTATAATCTCCATTTTATCCATGAGAATATAGGCTCCGGGAAGTCGAGTAACTTGCCCAAAATGGTCATATGGTAAATGATGTCCCCATCTAGCAGCCCTGTTACACAATTCCATGCACTTTTTTCCCCCCAGTCCTGGGGCTTTGACCCTGGGCCTGGGCACTGTCCCTGAGCTTTTGCTCAAGGCTAGCACTCTACCCCTTGAGCCACAGGACCATTCTGGCTTTTTGTGTTTATGTGGCACTGAGGAATCGAACCCAGGACTTCAAGCATGCTAGGCAAGCACTCTACCGCTAGGCCCTCCGTGCAGCCATGTAAACTCCGTATGCCCCTGAGAATTCGGTCAAGCGTCCATGGACCCAGGGCACGTGACAGATCTCCTTAGACGACACAGTTCAGTGGTGGAGCGCCTGCTCTTGCGGGCTCTGGGCGGTGGATTCCAACCGTATCCCTGTAAAAGGCAAAAGAAAAAGTACAAACGTAAACCCTCAGGCCGGCGAGCCGCGGCAGGGGCGGCGGGCTGCGGAGGAGCGGGTGAGCCCACGGCGAGCGCCAGGCGGCACGCTGCAACTGCAGATGGACCTGCCAATGCGTGCGGGCTAGGGGGCGGCGCTGGCCGGCGCGTCATCTTACGGTAGCCCCGCCCCGCCACGCCCCCAGGGGGTGGGGCAACGCAGCGCGGGAAAGCTTAACGCGGATCCCAGCCTCTCATTCGTGCTGGAGGAGGGGGGTAAGAGAACTCTTAAATGGAAGTGGGGTCCCTGCCTTCCCGGGCTTAGGAGGCGCATCGGTAAGCGTTCTCTAGATCCCTTTGGAAATGGTCCAGGCCACGTCACCTCCCCAACTTCCGGTCCGCAAGCCGGTCCTCGCTCCAGATCCCGGTTCTTTCCACACTCCACCCCAAGCCCAGTCCAAGGTCTAAGGCAAAGGCAGGAGCTACCCTGCCGGAGGAGCTAACCTTCCCAGATTTTAAAACGATTCAGAGGGAAGAACGCGAGGCGTTGGTCAGCCGGATGACGTAATACTTGGGGTGGCGTCTCACTTAGGGACAACTGCACAGCTTCGCGGACATGGAGGCTTAGCTTGAGGCATACACAGGTCCAAGCATCTAGGTTCCACCTGGAGTCGCTGAGGTTCTCAGAGCTCACCACCCAGAAGCGAAGAGTTCCTTAAATTTGCATAAGTGAACCACTGCTCCCAGCTTCGAGCGGCCAATAGGAGTGAGGCTCAGGAGGACACGCACCTGGCTAGTCACCCCTCGCGTCCGAAAGCCGAGAATCTGGCTGGCTTCTTCTTGAGCGACAGATCTGCCGCCCAATCGCTTTTGAGATGCTCAGAGAGGGCAGGTGGATTCCGGAGCAGCCAATGGGAAGAGGGTTCTTCAGAAGGCCTAGGCCTCTGGCCCAATGAGAATAGGAGGACTGTGCAGGGCTAGTTCCGAACGGCAGTACTTAAGACCAACCCAGCGCGGAGATGGGAAGGGCGTAGGAATGAGTGACGGAGAGACTAGCCAATGGCGAGTATGAAAGCGGGCAGCACTGTCCAGGAGCGCGGAGGGAGCCGAGGGAGAGAGGAGGCCGAACCGGAGAGAAGCAGGAAGTAGCGGTGGCCGCGGGGAGGGCGGCGGCGACGGCAGTGGTGGCGGCTGTAGCAAGGTAGAAACCGTCGGGTCTCAGCCTGCACTGGGAGCGGAGCAAGTAAGCGTGCCTGGGGTAAATACCCGCCCTTGGCTCCGCCCCCTGGGGGGGCGGGTAAATGCCCCCGCCCCTCCCCCACTTGGCCCAACTACACCCCCCCTCCGCGCTGCCCCCCTGGGGCGTCTTCTAGGAAGGCCCCGACACCGCCTTCAGCACCTGGGGCGGATGGTCCAAACTCTCAGCTTGTTGCAAGCAGTCCCTAGCCAGGTAAATGTGGAAGGAGGGCCAGGGACCCCCAAGTCCCGGCGCCCCACAGTCGTAGAGGCAATGAAGTGCAGTCCGGGGACTGCGGGCTGCGGGATGTCGCGACCTAAAATGGTGTCCGTGCCCGGGGATGGGGGCGGGGGAGCCGCGCCGGGCTCGCGCCGAGCCTGCATCCCAACT